CCCATAACGAATTATACAGATCATTGAGAACATTTGCCAGGGTTGCATGCCTGCCGACGGCTGACCCCCACCGCCGGCCGTATTGCAGCCGACCGGTGGGGGCGACCGGGGTTGGCGGCCTGCCAACCAGTCAGAAAACACAACCGTCCACTGATTTTTTTTCAAACCGTGCTCCATCAATTGGTGGGGAGCGATAGTTTCATTCTTTTAACCCGTTTCTTTCTCTGCTTGTCTTTCTTTTCCGTCTGGCATCGTTCCGGTTTGTCCGTCTCCAGCAAAATCAATATCACCGTCGAAGCTCCAATGAAATTTCCACACAATGATGGCATGACCTGGATTTTCCCCAGAGGGCCAAAACACAAAGACTGAGCAGAGCAAACAGCTTCGCTCTAAAACCAGCCAACGCTCGAAACTTTTTGTCTCACACACTAAGGTACAAGAAAACTTCCCATAACTGCTAGCAAAGGACGTAGGATCCCGCGGAAAAACTGTCCCCTCGGCAGAGATAAGCCTTTTGCATGATCAATTTCTCACTCAGTACTACTCCCTGACCACTTAATTCTCACTCTCTACTTGTTCTCACGCACTGGCTACGACTACTACTACTACTCACTTGCCGACAACGAACTCGCTACTTCTTCTCACTCACTGACCCACCAAACTGACTGACACATACGAGTATCTTTTTTCACCGAACAAACACGGTAAATACAGTCACATGCATTCAAGATAGCACTGGTGAGACTGAAGGATGTCCTCACGTGCGTGCGTGCATCGAACAAAGGCACTATTTTTTGACATATACATTTCCAAATTCTTCAATTCAACGATTACACTCAGTGATGAGGTTGTGTAGTAAATGGGCGCACTTGAAAGTTTGAAAAGATGCAGAAGAGGCAACCTGGCGAAAAACATTCATCACACCTCTCTGTCTGTCCATGTCCTCATTCCTCGATAATTCGAGGTGCTCGATGCGCGTGGCTTTCGTCTGCACTTGCTCTCAGTTTCGCCGCTATGCGCCTTACTATTCTTGCGTAAATCTGTGCCTCTGCGCTTCCAGCATCGGTTATGGTGATAGGCCGCCCGTCATCGGACGTCTGCCTGATGGTGATATTCAGAGGTACCTGTTCACCCAGGGAAACAAACACAGGCAAAAAAAAAGAAGACAGAACGGGGTAGAAGTGCACAGAAGAAGAGTGCCGGTTCGACAAAAGGAGAGAAGAGGACAAGAGGGGATGATGCGAGGAAAGATGAGAAAAAGGGCGAAGGATACGAACAGCAGAGAAAGGAAAAGACATACAGGAGAAGAAACACGTGAGGAGGATATCTCATCAGTCGTCACCGCTATGAAACTTTGAACATAGACAGAATTTCATTTCTTTTGCCCATGCTCACACGTGAGTGGAAGGACGTCTTTGAACGACTCTCACTGATACTAGACTCGGACACAGGTGGCCAACCAGCTGCCCGAGTCACAACTACCATCTTCACCCGAATACAACGCCCGGTCATTATCGCTGTTCCTAGACTGAAAGTTGAACCAGATACGGATATAATGACGGGGTGTTCTATTCAGGTGAAGATGGTAGTTTTGCAGTTGCTATGTGCCTGATTCAAACGAAATCCAGCATGGCATTCACTCGTTCCCATACACATGCGCAATGACAAGAAGACTTGGAGAGAGAGAGCAATCCACACCAAACCAAACGATGAGAATACACAGCTGAAGCTCACAAAACCGAAATTAGAATTGAATTCAACAACTTCTGATTTATCATTTATAATTTATCATTTATCACTCTCGCCAACCCAATCAGCAGCACAAATTTGCCGGTTGGGATCCCAACCACGTTACAACACCCACGGACCAATTAAACCACCAGTACCTCGCCCAGCTAATTTTCTCCGACGCGGCCGTTAACACGCCACGTCGGACGGAGGTCGCAGCAGTGTGCAACCGGTCGCTGCATTTCATCTGTAAAAAGGCGCAGATAAAAAAAAAAAAAAACTACTTCACGTAGTGCTATGATGTAGAGGAACATTGGCACAGAGGCTGTGCTACTAGTTCCTTCTACCAACGATGGATGTAACTAATATGTCGGGAAAGATTCACGAAGTTGTTTTCTTCTTTTATTTTGTTCTCCTTTTCTAGAAGTCCAATGGATGTAACTAATACGTGGGGGATGATTCACAAAGGGTTTTTTTTTTTTTTTTTTTTTCCCTGTTCTTGTCCGTTTCTAGAAGTCCCCTGCCAGCGAGGCAGGGCGGTTTCCGTGATGTTGTCGAACGGGCATACTGCCGCTGGCACTTCCAACAATGTATCCAACCGCAATCAGGCCGAAAGCGTTGTGTTGTCTTTTTTTTCTTCTTTTTTTCCTTTCTCCATTCTGACAGAGACACGACGGGGTTGAGACACCCTCTTTGAGGGCATGCTGACATCAGCACTTTGGAGAATGAATCGAACTGCAATAACGGCCCTCGCGTCGTTGCTTTTTTCTCTTTTTCTTTTTTCCTTTTTCCACTGGTTCTTCCACGCTCAGCCTGTCTTGCGACTGGTACGTCCGCGCTTGGCAGGCTCAACATACCAGTCGCCTGAGGGTCGGACTGCATAGCTGGGCGAGGTACTGGTAATTTAAAACAAGAGTTTTCATCGAAGTATATCTGGGAGACTTCGTCTTCCTCCTCCTATCTCAAGCTCTAGCTATGGCGCAGATAAGCGCCCAGCCTATCAAGCCCGCCAATCGCCAGAAAGGTGACAAAAGCCTCCTGAATCCAACATGCCAATCTGCACCACGCTCGAAGTCCACTGCCAATGAAATGTCCACTCAGAAGGGGCCCATGGAAGGGCTGTTTTGATGGCAGCTGACAAACCCCAACAGCACACAGTACGAAGGAAGCGCCAACAGCACTCAGGGCCTCTAGCCCGGCACTGGTATCGATGAAGCTGACCAGCCCCAGCTATGGCCGTCACCAGCATAGCAAAGTATGCAATGACTTGCTGTTTTCTGGTCGCCTGTAGCGTCTCTCTGTCGAGGCTGTACCATAGGTAGGGTAGATTCGTAATTTTGTAGTGGAAATTCGTGAGGGACCGAGACACCTACCTGTAGTGGAAATTCGTGAGGGACATATCTGCAAATTGGGGAAAATATAGGCCCAACACTAACTGAATTTCCTACTGCTACCCTAACTGCGAATAGCAGGCCCGGGCTATCCCTAGGACAGACAGGCCCTAAAGGCCTATACTGTTAGACGGTCCTATAGCCTATAGCCGGGTAAGGTAGAGGCCGAGATGCCGAAACTGAATCGGTACTGGTCAGTCAGTCAGTCCGGTCTAGGTCCAGTCTAGGCTAGTTTCGTCTATAGATAGGATGGGCACATCGGTTCAGGGCTTTTGGCAGTTGGTACCGAGTACCTCGCTGCTGCGCTACACGTGAACCGGAAGTGGTGACGGCTCAGCGTTGTGGGAGACAGACATAGCCAGACCTTTGGAGCGCCGGCCATAGCTGGGACCTGCGCGGTACTCTGTCAGCACGCGGAGCTGTCAGAGGTCTGGGCTATTGAGGTCTGCTGGAGGCGAGAGAAGTTGGTGCCCTTCTGGACCCTCCTCCAGAGTGGGGTTCCAGGGTTGTGGCGCTGCAGCCATAGCTGCAGCTTCTTCCTCAGAGGTCATCTCGTCAGGATTTGGTGGCGCTGCTGCAGACTTCCATCCGGGAAGTCTTCCGGCATTTCGTCATCATCAGATAGTGTGGCGCTGGTCTTCTTCTTCATCCTCTGAGTGGCGCTTGGCCTCAGAGGCCTGTTTCAGGGTGGCGCTTCCCTTTGGAAGCTGTATCTGGGCTCAGGGGTGTCACGAGTGGTTACTCAGGGTTGGGGAGTGAAGCGCTGCTCATTTCTGAGCAGCGCACTGTAGGTCTGAAGTTAATCTGACAATTTGAGACTCTGAGTTTAATAAACAGTGTAATACTGGGTTTGGACTATCATCGTTTCATTGTTTCCTGGATGTGATCTACTCGGCTTTTCTTTATGACTGGTTGTGAGGATTGAGCGGAGTGAATTGCACTTTCAGTGTACCCTGTCATATCGCATGGTCAAGTCTCCCACTGTGTTTATCTCTCCCTGTGCGGTGTGATACTCCTATCCTCTCCCCTTCCTTCTGTGTATGTATGGGCATACCTGGGAGTCCATGTGAGTGAGTGTCGGTCTTCAAACAACAGAGAACCAGAATCATAACAAGTAGATGCCCTGCGCTGATAGGAATAGCGCAGCAGGAAGAATACGCAACCTCCAGCCAAGCGCATGAAAAAAACCAAATAAACAAAAGAACCCGAACCACATCAACCTCCGCCTATTTCTAGACGAACCCTAGCCTACGACTCAGGCCTTGGACAATTCGCACAGACAGACCTACGGACCCAACAGACCAAAGCGGAATCCACGTAGTTTTCACAAAAAATAAAGAAATGTCCCAATAAGCGACCAGGCTCGGCACATGTACCGGGTAGGCCCTGACAGACAAGAAAATTACAAAATTGGCCTAGATAGTGTTACAGCCCGGTAGAATCTGCAAGTTCATTGCACAGTAGTTTCTTCCCAGGAATGCAGATCATCCTTTGCACCTGACAGTACTTGTGGAGACGGCAATGCCCAAGGTCTTTTTTCTCTCTCATTCAAATGACTCTTCATTATCATTCGGGTGCTTGCTTTTGCTGTATCTGAACTAAAATGACAAAGCCAGTTTTCTGGCGAAGGGTAGGGATCCTGATCCTATACAAGTAGACCTGTTGTGGGGTTTGCAACAAAGTCTAGTAAACACATTGCACATTAACTGAACAGACCTTGAGAGAGAGAGAGAGAGAGAGAGAGAGAGAGAGAGAGAGAGAGAGAGAGAGAGAGAGAGAGAGAGAGAGAGAGAGAGAAACTGACACATGGACAAACTGGACGCACGGACGCACGGAAGCACGGACGGACGGCCAGCCAACCCGCCCGCACAGCCGACTGAATGACCAAGTGAGCGACTGACCGATCAACCGACAGATAGGCACACAGGCACACAGGCAAATAGACAGACAAACAAACAAACAGGCATACATCAAGCAAGAAAGTAAGATACATGAGGGATGAAGGGAAGGACACTGGGATGAATGAGGGACAAACCGGGGACAAGTCGCTGGGACAGTCAGGGGGGCGTGGAGCAAGTAGGATTGATGAACCGAGCAGCAGAAAGATGAACGAACAGGAGATGACAAGATGGAGAAAGGCACAGAGAGATGGGTGAACAAAGAGGGGAAGGGAGGAAAGAAGGGAGGGAGGGAGGGCAAGACAGATGGACCGTTTACGGAAGGAACAAATGGACAAAGGGATGGACATACAGAGGGATAGGCAGATGGATTGAGGGATGGACAGGCAGGCAGGGGCATGAAGGTACAGACAAATGGTGGGTCAAATTGACAGAGGGGTAAAGGGAGAAATTGACAGAGGACGAATGGGGCGCAGATGGATGGATGGATGGATGGAAGGGTAGATAGACGGATGGAAGGGTATATGGATGTATGCATGACAGATAAACTCAAGGTGGATGAATGGATGGGCAGACGGTTCAGATACTCTCTGAAAAACAACAGCATGCAAGCATTGCAGGGCAAGTTTTTTTTTTTCCCAACATTTTTATCAGGGACGCTGGGCCCGGTTCCCAGCACTTGTGAACCTGTGAACTTGTGAACCTGTGAACAGTGTGAAGTTGGTTTTTTTTTTTTTTTTTTTTTTTTGGAAAAGAAGGAGCCTCATCTATTCTGCGGGGCTGAAGTTCTGAAGCCGTGAAGCCGTACAGACCTCTCCTAAGAACTCCATTCCCATTTCCTTGGCCGTCTCCTTCGCACCTCCATGACCAAAGATATGTGCTTCAGATTTGCAGTTTGGGCAAATGTAGTAACTCATATTCTCAATCAGACCTAGAATCTGCCACAACCAATCAATCAATCAATCAATCAATCAACCAATCAATCAATCAATCAATCAGCAGCAAACGCACACCACATGTCAAAATTTTGAAACACATGTCAAAATTTTGAACACGTCAAAATTTTGAACAGCAGGGACTAGAAAGAACTTGGCGGGTTGTCCTTCGGGACATCCGTTAAAATTGGAACGATGCAGAGAAGACACCCACCACCACATCTCAAAATTTAAAACACCCGAGACTATAAATAACTTGGAAGGTTGCCCCTTCGGGACATCCGTTAGCATGGCCCACAGAAGGAAAACAAAAATCGATGCATGGTCCAAAGTTCAATACCTTTCTCTGCCTTTTGGCTAAGATCAAGTGTAGTATCTGTTCTGATCAGTTTAATATCTGATCCGTGGTCCATCGAAGTCTTCCTGTCATTCATTAGACAGCTCATACCAGACAGGGATGAAAGCTTCCCGCCGTTTCCAGGCAGGACACTCAGAAGGGGAAAAAAAGGGCTGGAGGATAGTTAGTAGCTACTTTCCCCTTCAGGAGGAGGAACACGAAGCAGTCAGGTTTTAGCGAGCTTTTTTTTTCCCGCCGCTTCCTCCATGTCCCCGCTTCAGACGTAGTAATTGACGATTAGTAGATTACAATATTGGGGAAGGACCTGAGATTACACCAGCTGAGAGCGCATCTGGCGGATGGCAAGCGACACTTGGAGAAGACTTCTCAGACGTTGCCGCAAAGCTCGCGCTTCTTTGGAAAAACCTGGCCAACCCTTTCTAACGGCAAACCGGGCCGCCGGCATCTGGAACATCTTGTGGCTGCTGTCCATGCTCGTCATGCCTTCTGCTGTCTGGCTGGCGAGCAGAGGGATGGAGGGTTAACATGGGATGGCTCCAGATGCAGGCAGGGACCTTCAAGTCCACTCGGCACCTGTGCTGGGAATGCCCAGCCTCCAAACCCATCTGGAAGTGGTGGGCGTATCATTGGAAAATGTTTGCAGGGTCGGGGACTGAATGCGATGCGAAGTGGGTTCTCCCGAGTTCTCTCCCTGCTGGAACTCAGGGGAAAGGGGGCTGGGGGTACGTAGCCCATCTGGTAAAGAGAACTGCTGCTGTGTGAGACCATCTGGGCTCACAGGAATAGAGCAAGACTTCAACAGCCACCCCTGTCAGACAGGGAAATCAAACACAGAGTGAAATCCTGCTTGAAACGGGCCATCACAGTGGATTGGAGAAGGGCGATGAGAACTGGCCGTCGAAACCGGAGACAACAGAACTGGTTCCCGGTGACCTGGGCAAGAGGGAAACAGCTGGCAGCAATTAACAAGACCCGGAGTCTGGTAATCTCGAGGTGGATTGTGAACTCAGAGCCATAGGTAGGACTGTTGGTAAGTTAGGTGGGGGACCAGTGCACTCCTCTCCCCCCCCCCCCCCTCCCCCTCCCCCTCCCCAACGAACTAGAAGCGAATAGACTTAGTTAGAGTACTGACTGGCCATCCAGGGCATACGGACCCGGACGGTCCGGTTATGAATGAACAGGTCCAGATGTCCAGATAATATTTAAATTAAAAAAACAAACAAACAAACAAACAAACAAACAAACAAACAAACAAACAGACACGCTGCTGTGGTTGTATTATCCGACTTACAAACAAGTTTACCAAAGTTTATCGAAGTTTAACAATCTGACATTCGAGAAACAGATCTACCGGTCCGGTTTAACACACTGCTTGCTGCACACCCGCTCCAGCTCCCACTCTCCTTATTATTATTATTATTATTAGAGTAGTAAAATACAGCTGTCCCCCATATGAGAAGAAGGCAGCTTGCATTTAAAAAGTAAAAAATAAAAATTGTTAATGTGTGATTGCAGAGAAATATGAAAACACACGAGACCTCCTGCCGTCCCCCTTAACACAACACACCCTCATCATGACTGTATTAGACTGGAAAGATGGCTTGTATGCACTCATGATGAGGGTGTGTTGTGTCCGGGGGAGGATAGAAGTTATCAGGCCCTATGGCGCTGGACCACCTGGCCTATTTATTGCAGACAAAGTGTCAGAAGGGGAAATCCAGACAAGTCAGGACAGACACTGAAGACGTCCTTTTGCAGTCCCTGACCACAATGACTATTTTTTGCAATTTTTTTGTGAATGGGCGGGGGGGGGGAGAGGAGGGAAGTGTGTTTGGAATCCAAGAGGGGTCCGAACACATATATAACCACCATTAGAAGGGGGTTAACACTTAAAAAGGGGTTTAACGAGGGGTCTGAAAGGGTATACCATGGGTGTTAACCGGACGTCTGGATCGGGATCCAGATGGTCCGGTCTAGATGTCCGGATCCGGTGTCCTGTTTGGGGGGTCCGGCCGAGCCCCTTTTTTTTTTAATTAAAAAAAAAAAAAAAAAACAGAAAACAGGGCCTTATGGTCCTAGCTCCTTCTATTCTGGGGAGCATCAGTCCGGTTCCTATTCCCCCGGCAAGTCAATAAATATGTTACAATGGAAAGTACACACGCTTCCTTCCGTTAGGCCGAAGGACCCCTGATCAGCATTGATTGCTCCATCTTGGTGGAGGATTGACTGTCAGCTTGCCATGACCCGCCCTTCCCTCTCAGACCTGGTCACCAGGCCTGTCAGATAGTGCTACTCTTCCTAGAAAGAGCTCGGTCGTTGTTCCTGTTTCTCTGATTCTTCCCTGCTCAGCTTCCCTGCCCATACTTCCTACTATCTCTGTCCCAATTCTTTATCCCCCCATCCTTAAACCCTAAACCCTCAACCTGTGTACCCCTGCTCCGAACTTCCTTGGAGTCGACTTTGCTCTTTAAAGTTCTGAACCGGGAGAATCTTGTCCTTGCGCCGTTCTCTGCTGCCCCTCTCTTCTTCCTGAATTCAAGTTGTGCCAGTCCTTCTAACGAATGTGGCCGTCCCTCAAGTCAGCCACCTTGCCTTCTATCAACCAGACCTTACTGAACACCTGTCTGGCCTTCTTTCGTTGTTCCTCATCTTCCGACCATGACTTTTTAATCCTCCGCCATCTGCAGAGAATTTCTGCCTGGATCATTGCCTTTGTCTCCACCCAGGTCAAATCGCGTGAGTTGGATACTCTCTCGATCGTTCTGCTGCATCTCTCCTTCCATATGACCCACAGGGTTACCTTCCTAATCAGCCCATACCAGACTTTTTCTGCTTTCCGGGACTGTTGGGGGATGTTAATAAGAAGAAGAATTTGAATAGGTTTTTTGGGAAAGGGGGAGGTGAACAGGGAGTCCCAAAGGGTCAGAGCTCTTGCCCAGTAACCCGTCGCCTCCCTACAATGTACTAGGCAGTGTACTATGTCTTCTACTGCATTTTCCGTACATATCTTGCATAGATCCGAGCTGTCCTGGTCTGAATCTTTCCGCCTAACATGCAGCCATTGATTAACTGGCAATGCCGCATATGTTATTAGCCATTGGAAGCTTCTGAGTTTGATCGGTCTGATTGCTTTGTAAGTTTTCCATGGGATTCGAGTGATGTTTTCGGATTCCTGACCTAACATTTTTTTCCACCTGGCTTTGATGACCGGATCCGGGTCTTTTGTTTTTACTAATAGTTTATACCCCAATTTGACCGCACAGCCCTGAATGGGGGTGGGTCTGCTAATATTTGCCTTCTTGTCTGGTTTACATGCCCACTCCCCCGGGTCAAATTCCAAGTTTTGTAGCGCCGTGTCAAATCTGTATATTTTTTTCGGCCACGTTCCTAACACTCTCACTTTCCTGAGCAAGAAGCATTCCATGACAATAGTTTCGACGTTGGTATTCATGATTGACGGCATTCCCTCTGCGGAGTGTGTAATCGGAAAGGAGGTGAACACTGCTTGTGTAGTCACACCTTGTTGTGGGTGCGAGAACTGGAAAGCCCTAGAAGGAGGGTTATCCTGTATTTTTACTCCCCAATCTCCACTTCTCCATTCCCCTACTTGTGACAGTATGTCTTTCCATTCTTGAGGGATCAGATTAATGATGTATTGCAAGTTCGTTCCTCTTCTATGACATCCCTTCAGGCGTATACTTAACTCCTGTTCCGATAACCATTCCTTCCTCTCTTCGTTCCACAAGTGGCTGATCGTCCAGAAGCCGTTCTTTACCCACGACAGCCATTTGTGGTCTAGGAACAAAGGATCGTCACTTTCGGATCTCAGCCATTCATTGCCAAAAAGAGGTTGTCTTAACACCTCGTCTTTAGATTTCGGACTGTTGGTCTTTTTAGGCATTATTTCCCTCCAAATTCGGATGATAGCCTCCCAGTATAGTGTGTGTTGGTTCTCTGTATTCTGTTCAATTTCTCTTCTGGATCTTCGCTTCACCTTCTTCAGCATCCATTCTTTATTCATTACCCAGAATAAACCGGTCATGTTGCTTGGCGATGGTACCGGAGCTAGAGCCCTTATGCTGTCCCGCGTCAGCTTGTTCCATGCCGTGCCTGGTTTCATTAGCAGCCGGGCTATCCATTTGACTTGAAGGGCTCTCGTCTCACATCTCGGGTCAATAATGCCCAAACCCCCTTGTATGGGTTTACGTGAGATATACTGCCATGCTATTTTAGGGATACAACTTTCCTTATTCGGATTACCCGTCCATAAGTATGTTCTCGCCACTCGATTTAGCTCCTTTAGTGAAACATCCGGAATTGTCCACACTGACGCAATGTACCACATCATAGAGAAGACTGAGGTGTTGAGTACCAAGACCCAACCGAACAGTGAGGTAAAGGTATCACCCCATCTTCCCAGCTTGTTTAGCTGATTTGTCAGCATATTCTGGGCCATCTGAGGTGCCAGACCTTCCCGTGTCATAAGAATACCTAGATATCTGGTGGGGACTTTCGGTGTATCCCAAGTCATGTCGGCCTCCGGTCCTTGCATGTTGGGGATTTCTTCGTCCGACAGCCACCAACCCATTGTTTTCTTCCAATTGATTTTCATTTCCGATGCCAGTCTGAACGGTTCCATTGCCCT